CAGGCTGCTGTGATTCTGAACACTCAGGTGTACACAGAGTACATAGATGTACTAGAGACCTCCAGAGTTATGTTTGGAACATGCATAAGGAACTTGTGCCAAAAATTCCTGAATATTTTTGAGAATTTGTGGCACAATCAGATGGTCTCTTGTCCCCACAAGCAGCTCTTCCCTCTCTCCCTCCCAGAACAGGACTATTGATAATCCTGCTTCTCATAGTTCAAATTCTTTAATTGTTTAGTAAATGTTTGCCATCATCTCCTTCCCATTTTTATTTCAGGATTCTTTGCTTTCTGACATAGGGACAATGAAAGGAAACAGACTCCCAGTCACTTAGTGCATTTTTTTGTGGAAGGAATAGAAATAAAAATAAATATGTGTTTTAACTCTTTTATTCTTAAAATAAGACCTGGAGTCTTTTCCAGGTTTCTACATTAGGTTTTGATTTTATAGGTGGCGCAAGAATGAGAATTTCCACATGTGGAACAGCACAGGCTAAGGGTTGTGCACTGTTATAAATGTCACTTTCTATTCACATCGGAAGAATATTTATGCAGAAAACTCAGTTCTGTCTTTTCCTTTGAGGGAGGAAACCCCTCGATTTCCAGCATTTGGATAGTTCATAGATAGTTTTTGAACCTTAATCTGTATTTACATATTGTGAACAAAATACACAGTATCATTTATCAACTGTTTTATCATTTACCACTTGTTTATGTTTGTTGTAGGGGTGGAGCTTTTTATGCCAGCTCAATTCTCCATCTTGATTACAGATGTCTTGCTGTTACAATGCATGACAACTAGACACGATTTCTAAGGCCACCTCAAGTTTTGGCAGACGGTAACTTAGGAATGAGGCAAATCCGTCGCACGTGAATAGATGACACTTGCATTTATATTTTCACCTGACACTTACGTTAGTGTATTTATGTTGCTGCTGGTTGCAAAGACAGGCCTGGCAGCGTGAGCTCTGTGCCTTCCGTCTGCTGGATCTGACACTTTCTCCGTGGCTAATACCATTCGTGCCATTCTCTGCTTTGCGTTTCGGGTCGTCTGCTTTTCATCCTAGATTATCCTTCTAATCAGTAATTTTAACCGTCTTTACTCCTTTATCACTAACAAATGTTTTCATCATTAGCTTCTAAATTCTCTCCAGCATTTCTACTGTTCTGTTAATCGGCTGGGAAACTGGAGAGAGGCACGGGGGCCACTGACTGGGCCGAGAAGGAGGAGGACGGAGCTTTTCACAGCCTTGCATCCCCTAGAAGTCTCTGAAAAATGTTGTTGTTTTTATTGACAGATTAAAATGTTCAGCCAACTATGTTCATGCCTTTCTTCATAACTGGTTTTGACGTTTCACAGTTATATTTGTGTAGGGAATTATCTGTTAAAATCCTGCAAAGGGCTTTCTCTGGGAAAGGAAGACCCATTTGGATGGTTTGATGAAAGACTGACTCACAGCCTGTGGGAACCACAGCCCCGGGAATCACACGTGTGCTCTCAGTTCATCCCTGAGGCCATTTCTGAGAAGAAAGGATGAGTAGAGAAAGGAGGGGGAAATAAATGTGAAGGGAAGAAGGAGAGAAGGTGACTGATGCTTATTGGTCGGCCAGAGTGACAAATGGGCCTTGTTTCTGTGGTTAATAAAAATACATAACCAGGTCACAAGACTGCTGTCCAGGCCCTCCCTGCTTCTGTCACCTCATGAAAACCCCTGTTTCTGAGGTGGAGGGCAGAAATACACATTGCGTATCGTGCTGAGTTTTTCTTTTCAACCACATTATAGCGCTTTCCTTATTCCTGATTATTATAGGAAGGAAATGATTGTATGTATGTCCTCCAAGAATAAATGGTAATGGAATTACATACAGTTAGTAATGCAATATAACAAGACAGCAGATAGTTACGTACAGCTTTTCTTCATTAAAATCTAAGACACTGTCCCATGCAGGGTGCACCGTAATTTTCTCTGTGCTGGATACCTGTAGACGCCCTTGTCTGCCAGCTTCAGACCCATCCTTTCAAGCTGCACTGTGTCGTGCCGGTGCTGGACACTGAGCCCATATTCCTCCTTTGCCGACTTGCTCTGTGTTGGGAGCGCTGAGCAGAAATTGCTGCCGGGAGGCAGGAAGGCTGAGGAGAGAGAAAGAACTTGCTCCCTCCCGTTTTATTCTGTTCCTCTCAGGGTCACCGAATCCCTTGCCCCATCAACGTGTGGAGACTATTTATTCCCAGTCCGTGGTTTGCCTTCTTAGTTTCTGAACAGTGCATGTTTTATTTCAGTGTTCATTTTCCTGGGGACCAAGTCCGATCTATCCAGTGCTCCTCTGTCTTTACTGCTTCTTCTCCTGCCCAGGCGACGTCGGCCTATTCCACGTGGTGACTCCAGTCTCCCATTTCCTTTAGAAAGCTTTATGACAGGCTTTTTATATCTGGGGCTGTGATCCTTCTCAAAATAATTCTTCTACAGAAAGGTAGAGGCTTTTATTTTTACAAATCGTAACTATCTAGTTGTTCCAGAACCATTTGTTAGTAGATATTTTCCTTTCCCACTGAATTGACTTATCATGTGTGTTGAAAGCCCATTGACCAGATATGCGTGGGACATTTTTGTATTTCTGGAATCTTAATTCTCTTCCATTTTATCTGTCACTCCTTGTGCAAGTACCACTCTTAGAAAGGAAAGGTTTGAGGTCTTCACACTCATTCTTTTTCTTCTTGTTCTCCTTCTCCTGTTCCTTCCTGTTCTCTTTCTCCATCACCTACTCATTCCCTTTCTTCTTCTCTTTCTTCTCCTCTCCTCTTCCTTCAAATTGATTTGTGTATTTGAGACCTGTGCTGTCCAGCTGGGTAGCCATCTGCCCAGTGTGGCTATGAGCACTTGAAATACAACAAATCAGGATGTGATGTAAGTATAAAGAAAAGTGTAAAATAGTTCATTAATAATTTTATAATATGGAACACCTGTTAATTCAAAATGATAATATTTTGAATATTGGGTTACATATAATGTATTATTAAAATTAATGTTATGGTTTAGTTTTGTAATGTGGCTTCCAGAAAATTTTAATTTTTATGTCACTCATAGTATATTTCTATTGGATAATGCTGTTTGTTGATCCTTGTGAATATTTCCACATAAATTCAGATTTACTTGTTTGTATTTTTTCAGAATATTTTGCTAAAATTCGATAGGCTTTGTGGTGTGTTCATATGGTCTGATGATTAAATTCATGAACTTGACACCATGTGCTCATATTGACAGCACTGCACAAACAACTTGGTAAAGTTTCCTACCTTTGATCTGTCAGTGTTGATGGTTGTGTCCTCACTGACATGTGGCAGTGTCTTGCTGAGTAGCATTCATTATGGTTGCATCCCTTTGTGTGCTGTCATGATAATGTTGGAACTTGAATTACAGCAACAAACTAACCTTCATAAATTCCTTGGTACACTTGGAACAAGAGTGGAGGTGAAATCAGGGACATGTTATTCCAAGTTCCTGGGGATAATGCCATGAAGAAAATGGCAGTGTACAAATGGTTTACACATTTTTCAGAAGGGAGAAAAAGTGTCTCTGATGAAGAGAGTGTAGAGTGGCCAGGAACAAGCAGATCTGATGAAAACATTGCAGAAATTCATTGCATTGTGCATCAAAATTGTTGGCTGACTGTGAGAAGCACAGCAGATGGAGTAAACACCAACAGAGAAGCAGTTAGAAAAAAAAATATATATATATATTATTGTTTGGGATTCATTGAGGGTATAAAGGTAAACTGATTGCATTTGTTAGGTAAAGTCCCTCTAATAACTGTGTTCCACCCTCGAGAGTTGTGCCATACTCCATGACCCCACACTCTTCCCTCCTCCCCCTCCCTGCTCCCTCATTCCCCTATTCCCTCTTCTTGTATTACGTCATCTGCTGCCTTCCTATTAGAATGGAGTACATTGGATTCTTGCTTCTTGTGAATCTTTACTAAGAAGAATGTATTCCTCCTCCATCCAGGTTAATACAAAAGATGTAACGTTTCTGTCTTTTTTAATGGCTGCATAATATTCCATGGTATACATATACTACAACTTGTGAATCCATTTAATGGCTGAATAGTATTCCACGGTATACATATACCACAGCTTGTGAATCTATTCCTGGGGAGCCTTATATCACTGGGCAAGAGACAGGAATAGAACCTTCTCTAATGAAGACAGATGAATGGCTAACAAACATATGAATAACTGCTCATTGCCCCTAATCATCAGAGAAATACGAATCAAAACCACCCTGAGATATCACTAACTCCAGTGAGAATGGCTCACATCACAAAGCCTTAAAGCTGCAGATGCTGGCCTGGATGTAGAGAGAAGGGAACACCTTTACAGTTAGGAAATCTTAACTGAAAACCTCAGCATAAGAAAGATGTGGCCCTTGCATCACGGCAATGCCCCCGTTCATATAGCACTGCCTATGAGGGAGTTTTTAGCCAATAAACAAATAACGGTATTAACAACCTCCTGGCTCACCTGATATGGCTCCCAGTGACTTTTTTGTTTACCTGAAGATAAAGGAAATACAGGAAGGAAGACATTGCGGTGACATTCAAGACATCGAGGGTAACAGGATGACAGCTCTT